ATTCTAATTGCCAACTGTTTCTATTTATATTTGATTTATATTTCATTTGGAGTCTGTTACATGGCAGCTTCGGCAGACTGGATCTTGTTTTTCCGAATGCGGCATAATGAGTATGATCTATTTCTTTTCAAATCATCTTTGAAATCCCAGGAAAAAAAAATGCTCTGCTCTGTTGAGCTATCATGTAAATGTGTTTGTTTAAAAAACTGATGAGGCAAGTGAGTGATTTATTGTTCCTGAGGAAGTACATCTGATTTTTTTCCTCATACTCCAAAAGCTAGTCCCTTCTCTTTCTTAAGAAAAAAATGGGTAACTCTTTGTTTTTCACTAGCAAACTTTCATGACATTTCCTCACTCTTTCTACGTAGTGTTATTAATGCAATACATGTTATAGTTATCTATACACAGCGTAAGAATTAACAAACCGAAATGATCCACCGATTTAATGAACTGAAATCATCCGCCTCATATGTGAGTCCGTCCAAAAGATGTTACTGTTCTGGGTGGGCCAATGTTCTGTATCAGTTACACTAACTTTGGTTAAAATATTTATTCTAAGATGCCTCTGAGAAATAGTAAAAAAAAATAAAAAATAAAAAGTTGTTTAAAATGCAACAGCTTTTATAGTAAATGTACATTTATAAATAAAATACTCAAATCTGCTTTGTATTTCATTCATTATTTTTGGAGGGGTGGGAGTTGTTTTTCTTACTTATGGAAGAGAGACTCAAGCTCTCTCCTGTAGTTTCTGGTCCGGGGTTACATAGTCAAACAATGGCAACGATCCGTATTTGAAGTCAACCATTTAAGGCAAATGGAACTCACCGTACGGGTGACCGAGGAATTGCCTTCCAGGGAAGGACGTAAACTCCCGGAGATGAGACACACAGTAACCAGAAGGGACCATGCAAATGCCAATTGCAGTTGTCTGAAACAAGCAAATCACAGTCAACTCGCAGCACAGGATAGAGAAAAACATGGCGAGCCCTTTGAAATCCCTGCATCCTGCCGCTTTCCCCGGCGATGCCCCATGCTCCACGCTCATTACATACGTACGGTCTGTCTCGCTGCGGCCATGTCTGTCGAACCGGGGAACATTCTGTGAAACAGTGGCATCCCGCCGACACTGCTGACTTTTTGTAAGTACATGTGTGTATTTTGCTTGTACTCCGTCCCGAATTTGTAGGTGGTGGTAGAGCAAGCAAATCCCTTGAAATTTTCAATTGCTTTAAGATGTAATATTCTTACATTGTGATATTCAGTTGCCACCACAGGTTGTATTCTGCTTCTTTTTGCAAACTTTGGTAGAACAGTTAGTAGTTGCTGTTGTTTCCATTGAAAAAGTGGATTCTTTTCTTTTCGTAAGAGAGTTTTAGTAGCTATCAGAGCAACTTAATATATTCATTGTTATTTAAAAGAAAGCCCATTCAACTAGAAAGCATTTAAAAAACAAAGACTCTTACTCTAATATGAGGTCTATAAAGAATATCTTTATGAAAAGAAAAATATTTATTTCAGATATGTCAAACTAGCTCTCTTTCCATTGACTTTTTTGATACCTAAAGACTCCTTTTTAGCATCCAAATCTAGACCACAAATGCTCCCTGCCCCATCTTTTGGCATTATCTGAGGCAGGGGTTACAAACCTAATGGCCGGTTAGTCATTGTAAGTGAGAACCAGAAGAGGACAATAGAGGGTGGTGGGGACTATGGCAAACTGAGAAAAGAATAGTTCTGTCTAAAGGAGGAGGCAGCTCCTGGCTTCGCCTGATTGTTTCCGTGTGCAATCTCCAGTTTTAAAAATTGACAATGATTCAAAACACGTCTCCACACGGTGCCACCCAAAATTGTGGGCTCAACAAAATTTATTTCCAAGTCCAATCTTGCTCTTAGGACTCCAGTTTGCAACCTAGAGCTGAATCTCCTCTTTGCTTTTCTACCAGCTGCTACTAACCTGCTCTTCCAAGAGTCATTTCATTTGACAAATATATCAAGACGTGGGCCATGCAAAATATTTGCTTTTCAGAGTGACGAGGCTCACACAGAGAAAGAAGATAATAGAGTCATTAATGTCATTAGTCAGTGGCTGGTATTGCTATAATTCATAACACTTCTGGGTGACATTATTTGTGCATTGTGATAAAAGATTGCTATTTTACAAGCATCCACATTCAGTGTTTTGCCCACCTGTGCCCTTCCCCTTAACAGTTTCCTTTTTGCCTCTCAGTGACTCAAAAGGACATAAGACTGTACAAATAGACAAACCAGAATTTTTCCTAAATTTTTTTAGCATCATTTTATCAAATGTACTTTTGCAAGCGACTGTTTTATTTATTGAATAGCATTTCTGGCATGTAAGAAGAGAGATGTGTTCCTCTCCATTTTACAGGTGAGAAACTGAGGTACAAGAGGGATAAGCAACCTATCCTGGATGAGTATAAGATTTTACGTAATTACGTATGTCAACACCTGTCCCCAATTGGGGTTGATCAGGATAATTTCTTATTCAACCATTCCTGGCTCCCGTGTCTGGGACCTCATTTGAGACCAACCAGAAGGACTCCTGAGCAGAGCTGGGCTTGGCAGGATCTCACCTGCACTCAAACCGAGATGAGAACAGTCTTTTTATAGTAAATTTACACTTATAAATAAATACTCAAATGGACGTAGTGTTTGTCTTAGTCCATTTTGTGTTGTTATAAAGGAATACCCGAGGCTGGGTAATTTATAAAGAAAAAGGGTTTATTTGGTTCAAGATTGAGCATCCGCATCTGGAGAGGGCCTCAGGCTGCTTCCACTTGCAGAGGGAGGGGAAGGGGGACAGAGATGACCCGTGAGAGAGGAAGCAGGAGAGGGAGGGGGAGGTGCCAGCTCTCTTTAATAACCAGCTGTCTGGAGAACTCACTCACCCCAAGGAGGGCATTAATTTATTCATGAGGGATCCACCCCCGCGACCCAAACACCTCCCATTAGGCCCCACCTCCAACACTGGGAATCAAATTTCAACGTGAGTTTTGGAGAGAACAAAAATCCAAATCGTATCAGTATTCCATGGGGTTTGATCTTTCTACTCTGGGAACAAAAAGCTGAGTTCTCCCCTGTGGCCTGGCTCTGGCCCCCGTGGTGTTTGCTGGAGCGGAGGCTGAGTCGTCTCTCCGGGCCAACTGAGCTCCAACACACGCCACCTCCAAATCTCCTTCCTCCTCCCCATGTCGGGGCGCGGGAGTCGGGAGAAACTAGCCCCGCCTGATAGAGAACACATGCTCCAGCCCAACTTTTGTTTCACAGCTGAATCTTAGCTTTCTTAACCCAACAGCCAAGGCCTGAACAAGAGACGAGCCTCTTTCCAATCACCCTGATTGGGAGAAGACCCCGAGGGCCGCCCACGCTGATGGATGGATCACGATGTTATTTCACTGCAAACAGGTGCATCGAGACATGAATCAGGTGTTTCAGTTTTTCAGCGAGAATAATGACGTAGTCTATAAAAGCCTGTGTTCTTTAGCGTTCACCAGGTAGGTAAGAGAACTGTTGCGGCGGGTCTCCTGCGGCTAGAAAGCACTTTGGCTGAGAGTGGCTCCGTATATGTATAGGAAGCCACAACCAAACATTTTATCAAGGGCTACAGTCTCCTGCCTCTTTGGTACAGAGTTAATGACTGTCCCAAGCTCCAATCCTGGAGCACTCAACAGTTAGGACTGAATTCGTGAAAAGCTGCGACGGTAAGTGTGTTTCGTGTTTTCTAACGCTTTGAAAATTTTGAGAAACTTCATCTTTGTTTACGTGGTAACACTCAGAAACAAGTGGAGATATTTGATTGGACAGATGGAGAATTCCTTGTCTGAGATGATGCAAGAGAGTGTGAGAAAAAGGAATAATGGAGGGAATTATTGCCCAACAGCACAATAGATGTAAAGATAATAAATAAAGTATGTATCTTGGGCAAGAATTGATAAACTAATTATAAAACACAGGAAAGAGTATAGCCCAGGGCAGACCCAAATAAACACAAATATTTTAGTGTATCATAATAATGGTATCACAAGTCAGAGGCTAACGGAGGGATGGTTCATTAATGTCACCTTTTTACAATAAAATTAATTCTAGGTGGATTAAAGTGTTAAGTGCAAAAAAAAAAAAACCAGAAAAAGAATGATAGATTTAAATATGTTTAAATACATACTCAATAAATAGAATTTTAAACAAAGTTTTTTTTTTTTGAGACAGAGTCTCACTTTGTTGCCTGGGCTAGAGTGAGTGCCGTGGCGTC